CCGGAAACTTGTTTATATTCCGGAAAATCTTCGAAAATTTATTCTGCTCTCACACATTTCCGGAAAGTACATAATTATTATTTTTCCGGAAATGAATAATATTTTTCCGGAAATTTATCTTGTTCTCACATATTTCCGGAAATCTATAATATTCTTCCGGAAATTGCAAAAAGTAATATAGACCATAATTAGAATGTACCTATGTAGTAACCCCCTTCACATATTTAAAGGCCGAACCCTTATCCTCAAAATACGACAAAGCTTTCAAAAAATGGCTCAAAGAAAAGAGAAGGTTATTAGTGGAAGTTCAAAAATGCTATCTAGACAACGACACAATTCACGAATTGGGGCAAATTGATAGCCTAAGAAAAAATTATGAAGACAAAATTATTCAGGCTAAAAAGTTGATTGGAAGATGTATTGAAAGTAATGAGGGAAGAATAACAAGCAGTTTAGGTAGGGATTGAGTTGCTATGGTATAGGGCCGTTACGCCGCTGGGGCAGCTAGGACTCGGGGTCATTTAGGGCGCGACGTCGTCAAGACGTGGAGTTGTTAGGGCGCGAGGTCATTACGGCGCGAGGTCGTTACGACGTTGGGGCAGTTAGGGCGTAGGCTTATAAAATTTTGAAATGACCATCTAGAAGGATAAAATTTTGCAATAATAACCCTCATAAGTTTATCTACGTGCTCCAAAAATTTCAAAATTGTTGGACTGGAATTTCAGAAATTATGGCCAAAAATGTTGATATCCCAAAAAATGACCAATTTTTGAGGTTTATAGACTATAACTTGGAGAATATTTGATGAAAAATTCTGAAATTTTTGGAGGAGGTAGTCAAGGGTGTTAAAAAAATTTGACAAAATTTTTAGAAATTTAGGGTTAAGCTACCTGACGATATCGAAGCGCGCGCCCAAACGTTCAAGCGCCTAAACGTCCCAAACTTATTTAGAAAACGATTCGACAGAAGAAAGAAATTTGTGGGAACGAATTGCTACTCAAATGGGGAAGCTTTCAAACGAAGTTTACCTAAATTTGGCAAAAAATATCCCTACCAGAAAAATTAGAAAAAATTTGAGAGGGTGTGCTTATGCAGACTATAAATGGAGGGATATTATTGAATTTAAAAAATCTGTGGAAAAAATGAGAAATGAGGCTGAGGAGGTCAGTCAAGACGCGAATAGGGTTATTTCGGGGTATTCGAGGATGTTATCGTTGTTAGAAATGTTTAAACTTAAAAAGGATGATACAACATTGAGATTATCGTATGGTGATGATGGTGCTTCAAGTTCGGAAATAAAGGCGGAAAAAGGTATAAATTTTTTGGAAAAATACAAGATTTCCGGAAAAATACAAGGTTTCCGGAAAAACACAAAAGTTCCGGAAAAATACAAGGTTTCCGGAAAAACATAAAATTTCCGGAAAAATACAAGTTTTCCGGAAAAACAAAAATTTCCGGAAAAACACAAAATTTCCGGAAAAATACAAGGTTTCCGGAAAAACACAAAAGTTCCGGAAAAATACAAGGTTTCCGGAAAAACACAAAATTTCAGGAAAAATACAAGGTTTCCGGAAAAACATAAAATTTCCGGAAAAATACAAGTTTTCCGGAAAAACAAAAATTTCCGGAAAAACACAAAATTTCCGGAAAAATACAAGGTTTCCGGAAAAACACAAAATGTCCGGAAAAATACAAATTTTCCGGAAAATACAAAACAAATCCGGTTAATAAACTAAGAATAAAAATACAAAAGAAAATACAAAAGAATATAAAAAAGCAAATTATTAATTTTAGATGAAGAATTAGAGTATGTAAACTCATTGTTAGCACAGGCTAAAAACAAGCCCTTAATAATTTACTTGATTTATGTTTACGAGGAAAAATATTCTAAATTTTACTCTAGAAAAACTGTTTTGATTAAACAGCCAAGACTAAAAAAATGTAGAGAAGAAGCCTTAAAAATATATAAAGGAATTTATGACGTGAGCATGATAAATGAAGATAACTGGACTCAGAATATTATAATTATGATTCTTAAGGTGTGTTTTTTAATTGGAAATAATTAAGAAGATTTTTCCGGAAAATAAATAAAATAATTTTCCGGAAAATATAAACCTTCCGGAAAATATATAAAATTTTCCGGAAAATATAAACCTTCCGGAAAATATATAAAATTTTCCGGAAAATATAAACCTTCCGGAAAATATATAAAATTTTCCGGAAAATATAAACCTTCCGGAAAATATATAAAATTTTCCGGAAAATATAAACCTTCCGGAAAATATATAAAATTTTCCGGAAAATATAAACCTTCCGGAAAATATATAAAATTTTCCGGAAAATATAAACCTTCCGGAAAATATATAAAATTTTCCGGAAAATATAAACCTTCCGGAAAATATATAAAATTTTCCGGAAAATATAAACCTTCCGGAAAATATATAAAATTTTCCGGAAAATATAAACCTTCCGGAAAATATATAAAATTTTCCGGAAAATATAAACCTTCCGGAAAATAAATAAAATTTTCCGGAAAAATATAAACCTTCCGGAAAATATATAAAATTTTCCGGAAAAATATAAACCTTCCGGAAAATATATAAAATTTTCCGGAAAATATAAACTTTCCGGAAAATAAATAAAATTTTCCGGAAAATAAATAAAAATTTCCGGAAAATATAAACTTTCCGGAAATAAAATACAATTTTATTTATTTTCTCTACCAATCCTTCCGGAAAAATTTAATTTAAAGTGAGTTCGGAAAATATAAACTTTTTGAAAAATTCCGGATCCGGTTTCCGGATTTTTATTTCTTTTCTATCCGGACTGGATCAATTTCCGATTTTCCGGAAAATTTTCCGGATCAAAATCCGATTTTTAACAAAATACCCGGATTCCGGACTACTCGATCCGGAAAATCCGAGGGGGGGATCCGGTTCGGTTCGAATTCTAATTTAAATAAATCCGGAGAATTTTCCGGATCAATTTTCCGGATCAAAATCCGGAAAATCCGATTTTTAACAAAATACCCGGATTCCGGACTACCGGATCCGGAAATCCGAGGGGGGGGGGGGGGGTCCGGTTTAAACTCTAATTTAAATAATTAGATTCCGTAAAATAATTGACTAACACAAATAATCTTGAGTTTTAATGTCTTAAAATTTCAATTTTAAATTTTAGATGTTGGGGATTGGACATCAATCTTATACCAATAAATTTTTAAACAAATTAATTAATAATAGCGAATTTAAATTTGTTGACAAAGAGTATTCGAAGAAACAATGAGAAAAATAAATGTAAAAATAAATGTAAAATTAATTAATTAATGTAAAAATGCCTCCAAATAATGACCGATTGTGTTTATATATTTTTGTATAAACCTAAATATATTATTTAATGTATAAAGCTTTTATTTCCGTGGTGCGACACTTGGGGACGGACTTTTGCGGACCGACATTTGAGGATGGACATTTGAGGATTGCGGACCGACATTTGGGGACCGACATTTGAGGATCGAATTTGAGGAATCGACATTTGAGGACCGACATTTGGGGATTGCCATTTGAGTATAAGAATATTTGTATCTTAAAACAGAAATTATCACAAATTATTTAGGTAATACGGTAAAGTTGTTGCACAAGCGGGGGAAGTTGACTTGTCGGCGGGGGATGCTGTTTAAACGACGGGGGAAGTTGTTCAGACAATGGGGGAAGTTGTTCCGTAAACGGGGGATGTTGTTCAGACAACGGGGGAAGTTGTTCCATAAACGGGGGATGTTGTTCCAACGACGGGAGAGGTTATTTCAACACGCAGACAGATTACCTTCCACCATTGACGGAAAAAATTCTTGCCATTGACGGAACAACTTCCCGCGGTGACTGAACAACATCCCCCGTTTACGGAACAACTTCCCCCGTTGTCTGAAAAACTTACCCCGTTGTCGGAACAACATTCCTCGTTGTCTGAACAACTTCCCCCGTTGTCCGAACAACATCCCCCGTTTATGGAACAACTTCCCCGATGTCTGAACAACATCCCCCGTTTACGGAACAACTTCCCCCATTGTCTGAACAACTTCCCCCGTCGTTTAAACAGCATCCCCCGCCGACAAGTCAACTTCCCCCGCTTGTGCAACAACTTTACCGTATTACCTAAATAATTTGTGATTCTGAAATTTTTATTCTGATTTTTATTCTGATTTTTATTCTGTGTTTTTATTCTGATTTTTATTCTGATTTTTATTCTGATTTTTATTCTGATTTTTATTCGGAAATTTTTATTCTGATTTTTTATTCTGATTTTTTATTCTGATTTTTATTCTGAAATTTTTATTCTGATTTTTATTCTGATTTTTATTCTGTGTTTTTATTGTGATTTTTATTCTGATTTTTATTCTGATTTTTATTCTGATTTTTATTCTGATTTTTATTCTGATTTTTATTCGGAAATTTTTATTCTGATTTTTTATTCTGATTTTTTATTCTGATTTTTATTCTGAAATTTTTATTCTGATTTTTATTCTGATTTTTATTCTGTGTTTTTATTCTGATTTTTATTCTGATTTTTATTCTGATTTTTATTCTGATTTTTATTCTGATTTTTATTCGGAAATTTTTATTCTGATTTTTTATTCTGATTTTTTATTCTGATTTTTATTCTGAAATTTTTATTCTGATTTTTATTCTGATTTTTATTCTGTGTTTTTATTCTGATTTTTATTCTGATTTTTATTCTGATTTTTAATCTATCAGAATAATTTTTTTTAAACTTTTTCAAGTTAATGAGCGGAAGAAATTAAATTGATTAATACTAACAATTAAATTTTCTTTTTTTTTCTCATCCTTTACATGACCCAAATTTGAAGCTTTTTTCTTCCTTTAGCTGCTTCTAGCGTTAAAAACCAGTGGTTATTTTCGCAGCAATTTTTATAAAAATTATTTTTGGCATTTTTTCGATAAAAATATTTTTTTCTGTCCCCCCAATGATTGCTTAAATAAACAATGTTGAAAATAATTATTTTTTATTTTTGTATTTTTTATTTTTCTATTGCTGAGATTGTGGAGAATAGTGTATTCAACTGTCCAAATAATGGAGAGCCTAAAAGGGATATAGACAGCGGGGAACTTATTCAATGTCTGCCTGGTTTGTTTATTAATGTTGAAGCTTAGTATAGCCTTAATCTGTTCTGATTTTGATTCTGATTTTTTGATCTGATTTTTTGTTCTGATTTTTCTGATTTTTTGTTCTGATTATTTGTTCTGATTTTTCTGATTTTTTGATCTGATTTTTTGTTCTGATTTTTCTGATTTTTTGTTCTGATTATTTGTTCTGATTTTCCGTTCTGATTTTCTGTTCTGATTTTTTGTTCTGATTTGGTCTTCTGATTTCGTTCTGACTCTGTTCTGATTTTTCTGATTTTGTTCTGATTATCTTCTGATTCATGTTCTGATTTTTTATTCTGATTTTTTATTCTGATGTGTTTTGATTTTCTGTTCTGATTTGGCCTTCTGATTTGTCGTTCTGGTTGTTCTGATTTTTCATTCTGGTTTGATCTGATTTGTTCCAATTTCTTCTGATTTTGTTCTAACTTTGTTCTGATTTTTTCTGTGTTGTTCTGATATTTATTCTGATTTATTTTTTGATTTTTGTTCTGATTTGGGGGCTCCTTAGCGATACTCTTTCTCCAAATTAATGTAATATTTACTATTTTACTAAATTTTGAATAAAAGGTTGGTCATCTGAAGCCATTTGTGGGCCCAATTACTCATGCTTCTTTTCCGGATTTAATTACCAATGTTGTCCAACTGATGGAAATGATGAATTAATTAATTCAAAATTGAATAATAAAGAAGTTAAAAAATCTGAGGATGAAAGAGACGAATGCCCTGACGATGCTTTGGCGGTGCTTGATTCTGCCGGGGATGTAATGTATTGTGATGGGGCAGGGAAATGCCCTAATGTATATAATTTATTTTTTTTGCAGCATTTCCGGAAATAATTTCCAGAAAATATTATTTTCAGGAAAAATTTTCCGGAAATGAAATATATTTTTCCGGAAAGCAACCGGAAATGAAATATATTTTTCCGGAAAGCAACCGGAAATGAAATATATTTTTCCGGAAAGCAACCGGAAATGAAATATATTTTTCCGGAAAGCAACCGGAAATGAAATATATTTTTCCGGAAAGCAACCGGAAATGAAATATATTTTTCCGGAAAGCAACCGGAAATGAAATATATTTTTCCGGAAAGCAACCGGAAATGAAATATATTTTTCCGGAAAGCAACCGGAAATGAAATATATTTTTCCGGAAAGCAACCGGAAATGAAATATATTTTTCCGGAAAGCAACCGGAAATGAAATATCCGGAACTTGTACTAATACTAAAAATAAAACAATTATTTTCCCCTTTATTTCAGGCTCAAATGTTTTGTTTTTCTGAAACAGGCGTAATTTCAGAAACTTCTGTTTGTTGCGAAAACTTTTTCTATAAAGACAACGAACAAACAAACAAAAATTCAGAAGAAAAACCAAAACATGTTTTACACTCAAATGTTGCCCCAGAGGATGTTTTGGAGGAGAATAAATCAAAAACATTTGTTGGGAGCTTTGAACAAGACTTTGCTAAAACAACGCCTATAGCTACAGCCTCTACAACAACAACAAAAACATCAACTATAAGTTTATTATCAGCAACAACATATTTAGTGAATAAATCCACGAGAATTGTGGAGAATAAAAATGTGGGATAAAAAGAGAATTATTTTTATTAGTGTAGGACCTCTTTATAAGAGACACTCAATATAAGAGACACTCACTATAAGAGACTCTTTTTATAAGATACCCTCGATAAAAGACACCCTCGATATAAGAGACCCTCAATATAAGATACCTTCAATATAAGAGACTCTCTTTATAAGAGACTCTCAATATAAGATACTCTCAATATAAGAGACCCTCAATATAGGATACTCTCAATATAAGAGACCCTCATTATATGAGACCCTCAATGTAAGATACACTCATTATAAGCTACCCTCAATATAAGAGACTCTCTTTATAAGACACCCTCACTATAAGACACCTTCAGTATAAGATACCCTCATTATAAGAGACCCTCATTATAAGATACTCTCAATATAAGATACCCTCATTATAAGAGACCCTCACTATAAAATACCCTCATTATAAGAGACCCGTAATATAAGATCCTCATTATAAGAGACTCTCAATATAAGAGACCCTCATTATAAGAGACCTATTTAAGATACAGTTTGAACTAGTTGCCTGACCATTGGATAGAGGAGCCTCTCCTACATATACCTTCTATTTAAGGTACACCCCATGATAAGGTACAACCTCATTATAAGATACCTCCACTATAAGATACACCTCAGTTTAAGATACGCTTACTTAAAACTTGGCTGCCCACAGGGTTGAGGTATTCTCCAATCAATACCCTCTTATTTTAAGATACCCTCTATTTAAGATACTCTCAATATAAGGTATGATTTTTTCAGACCGAAGGGGTATTTAAAAACGGGGTCTGACTGTATTACTCTTTAAATTAATTTTTTAAGGGAGAAATTGATGGGCCCTTGAAGCAACAATTAAAAAATAAACAGTTAAGTGCTAAAACTAGGGAGAATGGACCAAAATACGAGATTTATAATAAAGAAATAAAAGAAGAAAAAGACTTTCGAATTAATGAAGGGCAAAATAGTGAAGAAATTGATGAGAATGACTCTGCTAAAAACTTCCTTTTAGAGCAAATAAAGTAAAACTTAAGTTTCCGGATATTTAATTTATTTTCCGGAAAGTTGCTTGTATTTTCCGGAAACTTGATAGAGTAATTATTTTCCGGAATGTCTATATTATTTTTTCCGGACTCTATATTATTTTCCGGATTTTATATTTTCCGGATATTTTTCTCTAGTTTCCGGAATGTTTATTCTTTCCGGAAACTTAATATTTTCCGGATTTTTTCTCATGTATCGGAAAGTCTTACCTTCCGGAAATTCAAGTTTATTTTCCGGAATATAAAATATCTTCCGGAATTTTTCACTTACTTCCGGAAAGGCTTCTTCTATTTCCGGAAACTATGTGTTCCGGAATTTTTTTACGGAAAATTATATTTTCTGGAAAGATTCTTTTTTCTAAAGTTTATTTTATTTTCCGGAATTTTTTCCGGAAAATTATATTCTCCTGCAGGTTTTTAAGATTAAGCTTAAATATACGCCTTATATTTATATTAATTGTACAGGCAAGGCTGGCCATACAACGACAAATACTATAGAGAAGAGGAACCTTCAGATGCTGAGGGTTAATTTTTGAAGAAATTTAATTTTTAATTTAAAAATTTATAGATATAGTAGTTCTTCGAAGGAGAGGGCGCCCAGAAGCTATTGTACACTTTCCAAATTAATTATATTTTAAAAAATATTTTTTAAATTTTTTGCTTAAATAAAAATCACAAGAAATACAATAAAATTTATTAAAAAATAAAACTTGGTAAGGGAAGGAAGAAAATAGAAAAAATAATTCTGATTTTAATTCAAGTTTTAAGTTTTACCAATTCTGATTTAAAATATTAATATATTTTCCGGAAAGTTTATTTTACCTTTCCGGAAAGTTTATTTTTATTTTCCAGAAAGTTTATTTTACTTTTCCGGAAAGTTTATTTTATTTTCCGGAAAGTTTATTTTATTTTCCGGAAGTTCTGGTTTAAATAAAACTTTGTTTTCTGATTTTAATTTAAAGTTTAAATTCTGGTTTAATAAAAATTCTGATTGTTGGAAATTGATTCTGGTTTTTCTATTTGTTTATGTTGTTGTTGTTGTTGTGTTTGTGTTCTGATTTCTTTTATTGTTTATGTTTTGGTGTTGTTGTTGTTGGGTTCTGATTTCTATTTGTTTTTGTTGATGTTTTTGTTGATGTTTTTGTTGTTGTTTCTATTAATATTGTTGTTGATGTTTTTGTTGTTGTTTTTCTATTGTGTTTCTTCTTGTTTTGTTGTTGATGTTTTTGTGTTTTGTTTTCTCTCATTGTTTGTTGATGTTTTTATTGATGTTTTTATTGATGTTTTTGTTGATGTTTTTTATATTTTTCTTGTTGTTTTTGTATTTTGTTTGTTTCCCTCTTTGTTTCTATTATTCCCTCTCCTCTTTGTTGTTGCTGTGTTTTTGTTTGTTTTGTGTTTTTCCCAAATTTATTAAAGGGAAATATTGTTGCTAATGTTTGTTTTGTGTTTATTAATTTTCTTTTTATTTTTGTTTGTGTTTCTCCTTTTTGTTTAAATCTTTTGGTAGTTGATAGTAAACATTGGCGTTGTTCTCTTCCACAAACTCGATTGCCAGTACACACCCGCCACCTTTTTTAATTAAAAAATTTTTTTCTCGATTAAAATATTTTTTCTTCTACCTAGCCTGCACCCCTATATTCCCTTGATTATTGGGAACTCTACATTTTGTCCATTGAGTCCAGCCGAGGGACGCGTGGTCTGTTGCCGCTTGTCTCTCCACAAAATCTTGAAACAAAAAATTTTTTAATTAATTTTTTCCCCTTTTCCCCTAAAATATCCCCTTTACCTCTCCTTCTAATTTTCCCCTCATTTAAGCTATTTTCCCCTAAAGTAATTTTCATTTCATCCTCTTCACCATCAAATTCACGATTTTCATAATCATCGTCCTCATTAATGTTGGTCAAGTTTAAATTATTAATTAATGTTTTTGTTGTTGTTGTAGTAGGTTTTTGAGAAGATAAACCGGAGCAATCTTTTTTTAATTAAAAAAATGTTTTTAAATTAATTATTCCAACAATAAATAGGGGCTGTGAAGGTGTGAACATGCTCTGCGCCATTCTTCATAACTCTTGAATGGATGGACTTTTTTGAATGCTTTTGGTATCATTCGATAGAGGAGAAAATTTGCTATAAAATAAAATAAAAAATTCAATTTTTGAATGTATCTGAACAGAGTTATGGTCAAAAAACTAGCTTTTGCTTGTTTATGCTAGATTTTTGAGCATAACTTTGTTGATAGGTTTTCAAAAATTGAATTTTTTATTTTATTTTACAGCCAATTTTCTTCTCTATCGAATGATACCAAAAGCTTTTTTAAATCTCTATCCATTCAAAAGTTATAAGGAATAAGGCAGACTATGTTTACACATATTTTGCTTGCGTTTGTTAGAATTTTGGGCATAACTTTGTTAATAATTAATCAAATTTAAATTTTTTAAACGATTTTATAGACAATTTTCTCCCCTTTCGAATGATACCAAAAGCATCCAAAAAGCTCTATCCGTTAAAAAGTTATTAGGAATAAAGCAGACCATGTTCTCCCCCTCCCCCCAATAGCCTCCTAAACCAACCTGTCTCAAAATAATCAACCAAATCAGAAGTTTCTATAATAAATAGCTCTGGTTGACTTTTGCGATCCTTTTAATAATTCGAAAAATTTTCAAAAATATTTATTAACACCTCAGTGTTTAATATACAATTTAATTTGGGCTCCTCAAAGTAAAACATTCCACTAGAACAACGAAAACCATAAAGCTTGAGACCTTGTAAATTATATAGTGTATACTATAATTCAGTCAAAAAAACTTTTTAAACAATTATCCAAACAATGCTGTAAAGTAGGTGTATCGACGACTGTTTCTGCAAACCCAACTAATATCATTTGGGGAAATCTTCGGTAAATTGCATGCTGGCAATCACTTAAAATACTGTATTGGTTTTTTAATTCGTTTTTAAATTTTTTGACATTTTGACATATTTTGGGCATTTTGACATTTTTGTGTATTTTCGACATTTTGAAATTCGCGGATTTTTAACAAGTAAAAACTCGCTTTTTAATGGAACAGTCATTGAGTCCAGTAGCCATATTTTGGGACATAACTTTTTAAATTTCTAATCGATTTAGATGATTAATATATCAACCGAAAGCTCTTGATGTTCAATTATTTTATCTAGCAGGATTGATTTAATCAGTTCAACATACAAAAAGTTATAACCTAATAAAGATAAAAAATCACGATTGCGCACACTTATCTAGTTGTAACTTTTTGTAGGATGGTCTGATCAAATCAATCTAATTAACGAAAATAATCCTCACATCCAGAGCTTTCGATTGGTATAAAACTTATTCAAATCGGTTAAGAATCAAAAAAGTTATGGCCCAAAATATGGCTCCGTGTCTCAACCAGTGGGACTCAATGATCGGGTTGGGGTCATAAGGGCGCGGGGCCATTAGGGCGCCAGCACTAAAAACTGACACTTAGGCGAAACCGAAATTTATGAAAATTTCCTCAAATTTTTTTAACATCCTTGACTACCTCCTCCAAAAATTTCAGAATTTTTAATCGAATATTTCTGAAGTTATAGTCGATAAACCGCGAAAAATTAGGGTTTTTTCGGAAAATCAACATTTTGGCCACAATTTCCGAAATTCTTCATCAAAAATTCTGAAATTTTTGGAGAACGTAGTTAAAGGCATGAGAGTTATTATTGCAAAATTTTATCTTTTTTGATAAGCAACTCACTGTTTTATAAGCTCGCGCCCTAATGGCCCCGCGCCCTAATGGCCCACTTTTTTAAAATTTCCAAAATAAATTACCTATCCAATTGTAGATCAACACAAACTCTTTCCAAATAATCCGTCCCCATTTTCTGTCTAAGCTGCCCATTCCCCAAAGGAACAGCCGTTTCCGAAGAGAGCACACACTCTCCTGTAGCAACAATAAATTCTAACGAATTACAATTTTCTTGTTGGGAACATTGTTCTATACAGCTTTGTTCGGTGGGTAAAATAATTTTTTGATGGTCTTCGCCGAATAATTCAAACCCATTTGTTCGGAGAAAGTGCACGGCTTTGTTTAAAAATTAATTTAAGAATTATCTTAAGTTGGGAGGTATCAGAGTGGTGGTATCAGTATCAGAGGTCAATCGGAACTGGCGAAGGCGCCGGAATTCAGAGGTCGGTCTGAATTCCGACCGACCTCTCCTAGTGGGTAGGGAGCTTCGTAAGTGATACCCTCTATTTAAGATACCCTCCAATAAGGTACAACCTCATTATAAGATACTCCCAATGGGTAGGGGGAGTTTCCAAAGAGATACCCTATATCTAACATACCCTCCATTTTAAGATACCCCTTTCATAAGATACTCGTACTACCAAATACACCTAAGATTGATTTGCTAGTGGACAGAGGTCATCGGAACTGGCGAAGGTGCCGGAAATCGAAACTGTCCGAAATCAGAAATGGCTCAAAAGTTGGAAATCGGAAATCAGCCTAAATCTTCGGAAATCGGAAATTTTCCCAAAATTTTCGGAAATCGGAATTTCGATCGACCCCTGAATGGTGGTGTATTAGAACCAGATCCGGCCGTATTTAAAATAGAATACCGTGTTTCGTGTTTGAATCGAAATTTCGACTTTGTGTACCGTATTTCGAGTGCAAGCCCTAATTTCGTTTCGAGCCTGAATCTTGAGTTCGAGTCTAAATTTCGTTTTCGTGTACAAATTTCGAGTCCGAGTCGAAATTTCGAGTCCAATTCGAAATTTCAAGTCCAAGTCGAAATTTCGAGTTCAAGTCGAAATTTCGGTTTTGAGTCGAAACTTCGAGTTCGAGTCGAAATTTCGGATTCAGGCCCTAATGAATTCTCCTTTTTATAGACACATTTTCCCAATATACCCTGATCAGACGAACATCGTCCACCTCCATTTTTATTTAAATTTTGTTTTCCTTCTTTCTGCTCCTTTACAGGCTTAAACAATTCCAACAACATGTCTTCTTCCTTCTCTTGGATACTTTCCAATTTATCATTTTTAGGCGCCTTTTCGGTTAATAATTTGGAGGTATTATTCAATGTCGTTGTTATATTGTTTTTTGATTTTATTGAAGATGGGGTCTAGTAGAAATTAAAAATATCGTCTTCTCCTTACAGAAGGAACCCCCTTTGGGGAACCCCATCTGAGCTCCAACCAGGCAGCTTTGATAGGCCATAACTTTTTTATGCCTGATCCAATCCGAATGAGTCATATACCATTCGAAAGCCCTTGATTAGTGCTATCTTTTTCCTAGGTGGATGGTTCAAGTCTGATCACCCATTAAAAAGTTATACCGTGATAAGTGTAATTATTTCGTGTTTTTCACATTTATCAGGCTATAACTGATCAGACTTGATCAGTTCAATTGGAAAAAAGATGGCGCTAATCAAGAGTTTTCGAATGATATAAGACTCATCCCGGTTGGACCAAGCATAAAAAAGTTGAGACCGACCAAAGCTGGGTGGGTTGGCACAATGTGGACTGCCGCCATGCTTGATGGGGGCGCCTATTTGACCCCTTCCGTTACTCACTCACCACAGTTGGAGTATCAGTAGAAGTAAAAGGCCATCCAAGCCCTCTTGTAGGGAGCGAATTAAATTCAAACAGATTTATCGGCACAGTAGCTGCAGGTACTTGTATTTGTTTGTGTTCAAAAGATGTTCCAGTTAAAGAAACAAAGGTTGATGAAAAGCAATGGATAGCTGATGTGGGTTCGAAATAATCGCGGGTTTGGAAGCGAAGCAATCTTTTAATTTGGAGGGGAAATTATTTTAAAGTTTTAGTGTGTATTGTTCCCGAGCCTTTACAGAATGTCAACTTAGATCTTATTTTTGAGTGTACATTTCTAAGAATTGACTGGCCACTGGGTACTACCGACGGTGTTTGTGGACGAAGACACTGAATTTTAAGCTCCGACCAGGTTGACCCTTTCCAAGGGTTTGACCTCTTTAAATAGGGGGAATAAAAGGGCGAAATTGGCCAAAAAGGGGGCAAAATGTGGCATGTAGACGCTATTCAAAGATGTGCCCCAGATCAGGAGTCGAAGCAGTATATTGGTATAGAACTTCCTCCTATTAACATCCAGGCAAAAATTTTGAGAATTTTAGAAGGCTAAGAGTTCCCTTACCTTCCCCGATTTTCACTTTTAGTGAAGAACGGAAATGTCGGGGAATAGTATGTATAGGATCTGGATCGGGGAATAGTCTAAAAAGCATTATTGGGCGGAGACGATGAGCCCATCTCTCTTTAGCTCAGAGAGGTAGGTTCTTCTTGGGAATTTCCTCTTTCCCATGGAATTCCCTCATAGATGAGGAACAGAGCTGTGCGCCCAAGTTTTCACGTGGCGCGACAAACGCCAATTTTTCAAATTCTTAAAACACGCCAAACGCCACAACGCCAAAATCGGTCAAAATGGACGCCAAAACGTCATGGCACACATCCCTGATGAGTAAGGGTTTAAATTGAATTAGTCTCCCGTCCGTCAAAATTCTCTCCCTCGCATTTACAAAACACTTTTACAGCAACCACCTTGCAGGTGCCAAATCTCCAACATGGGCAAAAAGATCGCATACTTGATTAATATTGTCATAAACAAAAGACCGGCAAGTATAATGGCCAACTTGTGAACGAAGACATTGAATTTTACAATTAACCAAAGAAATACTGGAACGACGTTCATAGGGTTGGGCGTTGATTATTATACTGGGGAAATAAATTAAAAATCGAAAAAATAAAAAAAAATCGAGAAATCCACCTATTTATGTAGCGACGGAAGCAAGGATCGCCTAATTAAAAATACAGTATTTTTTATTTATTAAATTTTTCCGGAAATATATAAATCAGTATATAAATCAGAATTCCCCCAGAATCCCTCATCTGTCTCCTCTTCTGTTTCCGGAAATAAATATAATTAAAAACACATAAAATGTGTTTTTGCTTTAATACTTGTATTTTTCCGGAACAATTTAATTTGTTCCGGAAAAATCAGAATTCTATTGTGTTGTTTTGTATTTTCCGGAAATATATGAATCAGAATTCCCCCAGAATCCCTCATCTGTACCCTTTTCTGTTTCCGGAAAAGATAAAACAGAATTCTAGTGTATTTTTCCGGAAATTATTAAAAAAATCAGAATATTATAGTATTTTCATTTTATTTGTATTTCTTTCCGGAACTATTTATTTTTTCCGGAAAAGAGTATACAAATTGTTTCCGGAAATATTTATAATTAATAATCAGAAAATGTGTTTTTGTTTTTATATTTGTATTTTTTCCGGAACGATTTAAATTGTTCCGGAAAAAATCAGAATTCTATTTGATTATTTTGTATTTTTCCGGAAAATTTTTAAATCAATTTCCGGAAGCAATTAAAATTAAAAATAAGAATAAGTATTTGCTCTAGTAATCCCCCAGGGGGATTATTGTTTCAACCCATCCGTAGGGTGGGGAATTAATAGAGACTGGGGGATTAATAGAGACTGGGGGATTATTGTTTCAACCCATCTCTAGGGTGGGGAATTGTTTCCCTATCGCATCGAGATTTAAATCTCGATGCGATAGGGGAAGAACTTGATTTGTTTTTTGATATTGATTGATTTGTTTTTATGTTGTTAATGATTTTTTGATTATTAATATTGTTTTAATAAATGTACAGACTGGGGGATTATTGTTTTAAAGGGTGGGGGATTAATAGAGACTGGGGGATTAATAGAGCAAATACGGTAAGTATGTATTTTTCCATTTGTATTTTCCGGTTAAGAAGAATATTTGTATTTTTTCCGAAACAATTTAAATCGTTCCGAAAAAATACCAGTATTCCATTTGCTTATTCCGTATTTTCCGGAAATATTTTTGAATAATTTTCCGGAAACAATTAAAATTAAAAATCAGAATAAGTATGTATTTTTCAATTTGTATTTTCCGGCTAAGAAGAAGCTGGAGGCTAACTCGGGGAATTCAAAATCCCGGAAGACGGTTCACGGAACGACAAGACACGGAACTACCAACCATGGAACGACAAACATATGAAATGACCAAAACACAGAATATTTTAAAAATCAGATTTTAAATGTCAGACTTGTTATAAAAATCAGAATTTTTAAAATATTCCGTGTTTTGATCGTTCCTTGATTTGGTAATTCCGTGACTTGTTCCGCAAAATGTCCGTTCCGTGAGTCAACCTCGTTCCGCGACTTGTCCGATTCGTGAGTCAACCTGACACGAAGGAAAATAATATTGGGCACTTAATTTACTCACTCAAATCAGGCAACGCTGTCATTACATGTTGGTGTTGTTGTTGTTCATTCTCTAAAAACCCTTCACTTCCCCTTTCATTTTCTGTCGTTAAATTGCTAGATTCTCTACTTATAAAATTGGAATTTTTGTAATTAAATACAGGCATTGAAGTCTTTCGACGATTAATTTTTCCCATTCTTGATATTGACGAATTATTATGGGAAGAAAAATTTGTGGAGTTTTTAGGGGAAGTTGAAGGTGATTTTTGTGGTGAAAACTGAAAGAGAGAAAAATTAGTCTAAATTAATTTATTTATTTATTCCGGAAGAAAATACAAAAAACGGAAATATAAAATGTGTTTTTCTGGGAATTCTGTATTCATTTCCGGTTTTTTAATTTTCCGGAAACTTAAAAATCCAAATAAATACATAATATCCTGATTTTTTAATTTCCGGAAACATTTTGATATTTATTTTCCGGAAAACATCTTAATATTTATTTATATTCCGGAAACTTTAATATAAGTTTCCGGAAACTTTTTAATATGTATTTTCCGGAAACTTTTTAATATGTATTTTCCGGAAACTTTTTAATATCAGTTTCCGGAAAACTATGTAATATGCATTTACGAAAACTTTTAATATGTATGTGTTTTCCGGAAAGCTTTAATATGTGTTTTCCGGAAAGCTTTAATATGTGTTTTCCGGAAAGCTTTAATATGTGTTTTCCGGAAAATAATTTAATATGTATTTTCCGTAATATACCTAATTTATATGTATTTTCCGGAAACATTAATATACATTTTCCGGAAACTTTTTAATATTTATTTTCCGGAAAATAATTAAATATGTATTTTCCGGATTTTCCGGAAAATAATTAATTATGTATTTCCCGGATTTTCCGGAAACTTTTTAATATGCATTTTCCGGAAAACCAATCCGGAATAACAACAAAAAATACAAACATTTTAAAAAAGTTTCCGGAAAAATTAATAGACGAAACACAAATAAAATACAATTTTTGATTATACATAATTATTTGTCTTCCAAACAAATAATTAATTAATTAAAATACATTGAATTTTATGGGTATTTTAAAAAGCTCCTCCAAAATAAAAATAATAATTACCCTTTCACGCGCAATAACATTAAAAGACGTATTTACAAACAAAATAAATTTAATCCAAATTTTAATTGAAGAAACCATAAATTTAATTAAATAATTAGGATATTAATAGAAAATAATTTTTAATTAAATAATAAAATTAAAAAATAAATTTATTTGTAGTGGCGCAATTTAATAAAAACATTCTCTCCACTCAAGGGCATAATGCTTGTTATAATAACATTAATTATTAGCCACTAGAAAAAGAAAAACACTTTATTAAACCGGAAAAATACAAAAGGGGAAAATATGTTTATTCTGATTTTTAATAGTTTCCGGAAATGTTTAAATATTTACAGAAATAAAAAATACATAAATATTCTGATTTTATTTTCCGGAAAGAAATACAAAAGGAGGGAAAATACATAAATATTCTGATTTTATTTTCCGGAAAGAAATACAAAAGGAGGGAAAATACATAAATATTCTGATTTTATTTTCCGGAAAGAAATACAAAAGGAGGGAAAATACATAAATATTCTGATTTTATTTTCCGGAAAGAAATACAAAAGGAGGGAAAATACATAAATATTCTGATTTTATTTTCCGGAAAGAAATACAAAAGGAGGGAAAATACATAAATATTCTGATTTTATTTTCCGGAAAGAAATACAAAAGGAGGGAAAATACATAAATATTCTGATTTTATTTTCCGGAAAGAAATACAAAAGGAGGGAAAATACATAAATATTCTGATTTTATTTTCCGGAAAGAAATACAAAAGGAGGGAAAATACATAAATATTCTGATTTTATTTTCCGGAAAGAAATACAAAAGGAGGGAAAATACATAAATATTCTGATTTTATTTTCCGGAAAGAAATACAAAAGGAGGGAAAATACATAAATATTCTGATTTTATTTTCCGGAAAGAAATACAAAAGGAGGGAAAATACATAAATATTCTGATTTTATTTTCCGGAAAGAAATACAAAAGGAGGGAAAATACATAAATATTCTGATTTTATTTTCCGGAAAGAAATACAAAAGAAGGATAAATACATACATATTCTGATTTTATTTTCCGAAAAGAAACACAAAAGGAGGGAAAATACATAAATATTCTGATTTTGCTTTCCGGAAAGAAATACAAAAGGAGAGAAAATACATACTTATTCTGATTTTGCTTTTTCATGTTTCCGGAAAACTACATATCCCAGAAAAAATACAAAAAATATTTCGGAAAACAAAAATACACATTCCGGAAAACTTGAAAGAAATACAAAAGGAGGGAAAAAATACATACTATTCTGATTTTTCATTTTAATGTTTCCTGTCAAATAAAATACATATTTCCGGAAAGCTTAAAAGAAATACAAAAGAATACTCCGGAAAACTTAAAATACAAATTTCCGGAGAATACAAAAAGAAGGGAAAATCAGAATAGTTTCCGGAAAACTACATTTACAAAAATACAAAATAAGGTACTAAAAAATACATTCTTATTCTGATTTTATGTATTTTCCGGAAAGAAATACAAAAGAAGGGAAAATATACATCATTCTGATTTTTCTTTTTAATGTTTTCCGGAAAACGTAAAAAAGAATAACCCTAAAATACAAAAATTTTATGGTCTTTTCCGGAAACCCTAAAATACAAAATTCCGGAAAATACACAAAAGAGAGTTAGTAAAATACACATTCTGATATTTATAATTTTCCGGAAAACAATGTACATATTTATTTTCGTCTCACTCATTAAGCTGAAACACAGGCGTATTATTTCCCCTCATTTTCTACTAAAAGGGAAGAATAGAAAAAAGTTTATTTTTAAAAAGGGGAACAAATTGTAAAAAAATATTTTATTGGAGGGATGACCTAATTTTTAATAATTTTGTCTCTTTTTTATTTCTTGTTCTACCATTCTTTGCAAATCTTTTGAAACTTTTCCGAATTCGTTAAGCATTCTTTTTTGAATTCTGGGCAATGCTTGGCACAATGAAGCTGCTATGTTTTCTGTTAAGCGTTTACGTGCTCCTTGGTCTAATTGCTGCAAAAAAATTGAATTTAATAGATAATATTTCGTATAATGGATATGACACCTCTTTGTAAGATACTCCCAATATTAGATACTCTCGATTTAAGATACGTCTATTATAATGAGGCGACTCTTAAATAGGAGGTTGGGTAGGAGAGCTATCTAAGCGAGAACCTCTACTTGGGTACAACCTCTTTATAAGGTACCCCCAATATAGATAACCCTCAGATACGCCTAGATTCAAAATAAACCTCATAAAATACGCTTTTTAGCCTATAAATGGGTATCCTATATAGTGGACTCTCTCTATAACAACACCCAAAATTTAGCCGTCTTAAGAGAGAGAGAGAGAGAGTGTGTGGTGATCTGTGGAATGGGTGTCGTTATAGAGAGAGTCCATTATCGTCTAATCGGTACTCCCTCTATTTAAGATATTCTCATTACAAGTTACACCTCTATTTAACGCCTCAATTTAAAATGCGTCTATTTAAATTTGTCTACATAGTGGAGGAGCTGTCCAAAGAACCCTCAATCTTTTTCAGGGGGTTCCTAAAGGTCATATAATGAGGTCTAACCCCAATAAAACACTTATATGTATATATTTTACATTTTTCCACATATCCGCAGGTTGTGAGTAATTATCATCATCTCCACTTTCAAACCTCGCAACTAGTTCCTTCTCTAAAACAAACTGGCTTTCTTGAGCAGCCTTCCCAGTAGGTTCAGGCCCTCTAAAAGAGTTTGGGTAGTAATTTGGAGAGTCTCCCCCATTCTCTCCAAATTGGTTTAGGCCGTCTCTCTGTGTATTTTCTGCTGGTTTAAGGGGTCTGTTTATTGGCAAGAGCATGTGGTTAGGGCCTAAACGGTGATGTTGAGTGTCCATGTAGGAGAATAATCTGCCTTTAAAAGAAAATTTTTTAATGATTGCTTGAGCTGTAGGAGGTGAGGAAAGGAGTAGGGAGTGATTCAGCTCGGAAGGGTCAACTAAACGCAGTCAAATGGGCGGCAGCAAACTAAGCGTCAACCAACCAAATTTGATTGACCATAACTTTTTAAAATCATGGTCCGATCAGAGTAAGTCTTATACCATTCGAAAGCACTTGATTGGCGCTATCTTTTTTCTAGTTGGATGGATCAAGTCTAATCACTCATTAAAAAGTTATAGCCCGATAAATGCGAAAAACAACAAATAATTGCACTTATCGTGTTATAACTTTTTAGTGTGTGGTCAGACTCGGTTGATCCAATTGGAAAAAAGATAGCGCCAATCAAGGGCTTTCGTTTGATATATGACACATTCGGATGGGATCAGGCATAAAAAAGTTATGGGCGATTAATCAAGGGTGGTTAACAACATACTCCTTTATAGAAACTGCCCCTTTTCTTCCACTCCCACAATGAAAAAGACAGAAACTGCCCCTTTTCTTCCATTCCCACAATGAAAAAGACGTCTTCCACTTGAGAGAAGAGTATTCTCTCCCCCTCTCAAAAAAAATTGACTCTACCCTGAAGTAATTTGTCAGGAGAAGCTTCAATTCCCCTAACCATCCTTGCAGGGTCAAAAGCAGCCTGTTCCACTTGAGCAAAAAAGTTGGTAGGGTTTTTATTTAGTGTTACTTGTCCAACAGTTATTAAAGGAAATTCTGCTTCAGACCAGGTTTTTGTTGCATCAAAAGGGTTGTAGCGATATTTTGCTGCTTGTTCGAATGTCATTACCTGTTATGAGTGGTGGCTAGTAAAACGGAATTCTGATAGCGTGGAATTCTGATTTTTTGGTGACCAGAATTGAATTCTGATTTTATACTGACCAGAATTCTGATTTTATACTGACCAGAATTCTGACTTTTTGGTGACCAGAATTGAATTCTGATTTTATACTGACCAGAATTCTGATTTTATACTGACCAGAATTCTGACTTTTTGGTGACCAGAATTCTGATTTTTTGGTGACCAGAATTGAATTCTGATTTTATACTGACCAGAATTCTGATTTTATACTGACCAGAATTCTGACTTTTTGGTGACCAGAATTCTGATTTTTAGTGGCCAGAATTCTGATTTCTTGGAAACCAGAATTCTGATTCTTTGTGATCAGAATTCTGATTTTTACTGACCAAAATTCTGATTTTTGATCAGAATTTCAAAATTCTACTAAAATCAGAATTCTGATTGTAAAAATTCTGATTATTCTCTTTATAATTTACTTGTATTTTAAAGATCCATTTAGGGAAGTCTCCTCTTTCAATGGCATTAAATAAATCTCTCGTAGAATAATCTGGGTCTTCCTGTGCTAACTTTGCAGCCCTTTCTGCTGTTAAATTGTGAACACCCTGAACCGATTCTAATTTAAATTTGCAATAAACGGCTGTTCCGTTTGCGTTGACCTGTGGGAAAAATTGTTTTAGTGTGTTGAGTTGGAGGGCTCTGATCGACTATAACTTTTTTATGCCTGATCCAATCCGAATGAGTCATATACCATTCGAGAGCCCTTGATTAGCACTATCTTTTTTCTAACCAAATGGATCAGGTCTGATCACTCAGAAAAAAGTTATAGCCTAATAAGTTGGATAGGTAGTGGGAGACTATGAGAGACAGCCAACTTTGATCGGCCATAACTTATTTATGCCTAATTCAATCCGAATGAGTCATATATCATTCGAAAGCCCTTGATTGGCGCTATCTTTTTTCCAATTGGATGGATCAAGCCTGATCACTTACTAAAAAGTTACAACCCGATGAGTGCAATTATTTGGTGTTTTTCACATTTATCGGACTATAGCTTTTTGATGAGTGATCAGACCAGATCTATCCAATTAGGAAAAAGATAGCGCTAATCAAGTGCTTTCGAATGATATATGACTTATTCGTATAGGATTAAGGCAAAAAAGGTTATGATCGATCAAAGCTGGCTAGTTCATTGTCTGTGTGGACAGTGATTTGTCGGACGGTATTTTGTCCACGGATTAATTAAAAAATCTCACCAATTTGAACGTATTAGTTCCAAACCCATTCATCTTTCTAAAACCATCAGGCGTTCCCAAATCAGAAAATATCCTCAATATCATGTTTATAGCCTCAGGCCTCAACGACACAAAATCCCAAACCATATTTGGGTCGTGCAGATTCGTCCTCGGATTTCTCTTTTGGCTGTGGATAAAACTGGGGAAGAGGATTGGGTCTCGAATGAAGAATATTGGGGCATTGTTGCCAACTAGGTCCCAATTGCCTTCGTCTGTATAATATTTCATAGCAAATCCTCTTGGATCACGCAATAGGTCTGAGCTTCCCTTCTCTCCAGCTTGAGTAATAAAAAAAAATTTTTAAGAATCATTTTAGACACTCACAGGCTTAAGACTGCATGTAAGGGAGAAGGAAGATAGCATGCTTGATAGACTAGGGTTTAAGATTAGGGTTGGGGGTTTTCGAGTTGGGCCGATGTCCGGCTCATTTTTGGACATCATTTATATCGGGCCGGGCCGACCGAGTCTTTTTCGGGCTAAAATTCAATGCCCGAATCGACCTTTCGGACCGGGCCCCCAACCCTATTTAAGATCTATTAAAAAGACATCGGCACCCCTCAGCAGCTTAGTCAGTCAATCACCTGTACGTGGTGAGCAGAAAGCTGCTGCCTAGCAATACAGTCACTGATGCCTTTCAGAGGTCTTTTACTTCCCTCAATTAGGTCAGTCACCCCCAGGCTTGATCATATTTTCTGTATTAAAGCACCCCTTCTGAATTAGAGCCCGTATTGGTTAGCATTAGTGGTTAGAGCTAGAGGTCGGTAAAATCGCAATCCCGGGATCCCGAAACGGGATTGAGTTTAAAAATTAGAACGGGACGGGATCCCGCGGGATTAATCCCGTAAATCCCGAAATTCCGGTAATCCCGCGGGATTAATCCCGTAAATCCCGGTAATTCCGTTTTTCGCTGAAAACCCGGATACCGGGACTGGATCCCGTAAAACCCGTGCGGGGTCCCGTCCCGTGCCGAGCTCTAGTTAGAGCCACTTAGAGTCACAGTGGCCCAAACGGCATATGCCCTACTTAAGAGTTAAGCGGACTCTGTTCGGGACCCCTTGTTTGAACCTTGACTTGACCTTCGGACACCTTGACCTCTGTTCGGACTCCTTCCCCCTTATTTATCTCTTTAAAAAATCAAACCCACCAACAGTCGAAAATCTAAAGAAACAGGGGGTTCTCTTCCCAATCTTTGCAAAGATCGAAGCTTTCGTATACTTTGTAATATCGTTGGTTACCACAAAATAGCCAAAAGCCGCTGCCCCTTTTGCATGCACTACTCTTTCGGGTATCCTTTCTCGGTCAAACTTCATTAATTCGTCTAAGAAGACAGAGTCTTGTAGAAGCATTGGTCCTCGTTTGCCGGCTGTTAATACGGCGGTTCTTGTTTCTATTAGGGAACCGTGGGAGGTTGTCATTGTGTCGATTGTCTTTAAAGTGAAGGCGGTTATAAGGAAAAATAGGTTGGGGAAGAGGCCTATTTTGGGTCATAACTTTTTTAATTCTTAACCGATTTAAACAATTTTTATACCAATCGAATTCTCTTGATTTGAGGATTATTTTAGCTGGCAAGATTGACTTGATCAGAGCAGTCTACCTAAAGTTATGGCCGATTAAGTACCAAAAATCACGATTACGCACACTTATCCAGCTATAACTTTTTGTAGAATGATCTGATCAAATCAACCCTGCTTGACAAAATAATCCTCACATTTAGAGCTTTCGAATGGTAAAAAAATTATCTAAATCGGATAAGAAATAAAAGAGTTATGGCACAAAATATGACTTCGAGACTGCCCCTACACTAAATTTAGGGCAAAAAATAAGTATGAGATCTGTTCTTATAATGAAGTTATCTTAAATAGAGGGTATCGCTTAGACCACTTCCATCCAGGCAGCCACTGGATGGGAGTGGCAGCCACTCCCATCCAGTGGCTGCCTAAGGTCTAAAAGTATCTTAACAATAGAGTGCCGCAGACAGCCCCCTCGCCCAACGGTGGCCCACCTAATTCTTAAGAGCTTATGTTAACTAGAGGTGTATCTAGTAGTGAGGGTATCTTATAAAGAGGTCCGACTGTATTTTAAATTTTATTTGGTTTATAACCTTCTTTTGTCTGCTATAACCTTCAAGTTGTAAAGTAGCCGGATCACTTCCACTGCAAACATTTTGGGAAGGACAAGAATGTGGATTAATTAAATGTAAAATATTTAGAAGAATAAAGGGAATAATAAATAGAGAAATTTGACAATTTAAAGCCATTTAAATTTATTTTTAAAATAAATCTGTGAAAAAATTTAAAAAGGAATTATTTGGCTGCCAAGTGTGAGGGGCACACTTGGCTGGGTAAGTGTGAGGGGCTATAAGGGTGACTGACTGAGCGTCGACCAACCATCTTTGATTGACTGTAACTTTTCTCTGCTTGATCCGACCCAGTTGAGTCATACCACATTCGAAAGCCCTTGATTGGCTCTATCTTTTTTCCAACTACACGGACCAGGTCTGATCAATCACTAAAAAGTTATAGCCCGATAAGTGCAATTATTTGATGTTTTTCACATTTTTTGGGTTATAACTTTTTAGTGAGTGATCAGACTTGATTCACCCAACTAGAAAAAAGATAGCGCCAATCAAGGGCTTTCGAATGGTATAAGATTCATTCGGATCGGATTAAGAATAAGAAAGTTATGACCGATCAAATCTGGCTTGCGCTCAGTCTAGGTTAGTGAGAGACTATGAGATTTCTTTTTGTCCGCAAATGTTTTGGGTAGAAAATAATTTTGGGAATATTCTGGAATGCTTAAAAATAGCTTGTTTTATGACCAAAATAATTTTATTAAATTTCTAAAATATTTGTTTGACAGAAAACAAATAAAAAACGAACAATATTTAATCGTGTCATGTGTAGGAAAAGAAAATTTTTTTCTTTAATTTTTAGTTTCCACGTCATATTTTATCAAAATAACCATAAAAGTAGTAAATCAAGGAACAACCCCAAACCTTCCCTTATATGTGTTGACGTGGAATAGAGGTCAAACTTAGTCACAGACTATGGTTAGTGGCTCATGGGAAGGTTGGTGGATCATGGGAAATCTCCGGAAATCCGCAACCGGATCCGAAAAATTCCGGATTCGGAACCAGATCGAGATCCGGAAATCCCTGGATATCCGGATCGACTAGCCTTATCACATACCACTTAATAAACCTCATTATAAGCGACCCGTTTTTAAACCAACGGAGATGTAGTTACAAATTAGGTTCGACTGTATAAAAATTTTTGGCTGCCCAGTGTGTGGAAGAACCTCTAGTCAATACTAAGGTTATTCGGATCCAAAATCCGGATCCGGAAAAAGGCCTGATATCCGGAAATTTTCGGTTCGGATATCGGATCCGGATATCCGAGGATTTTCAACTATCCGACAACCCTACTAGTCAATAACCTCTATTTAGGCTACACTTCATTATAAGGCACCTGTATGAATTAAAAAGTTTGTGTCAACCAGGAAGTCCATAAAATTTTCGTCCCCAAATTACTAAAAACCTTACTAATACAACAACGATTCTCCCCCTCTTTTAACTAAAAAAAGCGACGAAAAAAAATTAAAGAAGGAAATAAATAAATTTTTAAAATAAACAATTAAAACTGACAATAATTTCAGCCATTTTTTGACTGTTTAAATAATCAAAAAAAATTTTTAAAAAATTTAATTATCAAAACAATTAATTTTTAAACTTTATTTTAATTTATTTTTAAGGTAATTTGTTTAAAAAAATATTTTTTTTTTCAATGGAAAATATTTTTTTGGGGCAAAAACAAATTTTTATTGCTTCGCTAAGGCTAACACATAAATTAAAAAATATTCTCTTTTTTGTTAGAAAAATTTAAACAAATAGAAAAATAATTTTTTGAACAAAGGATCATGAAAAATAATAAAAAAAAATTTTGAGGTTAAATTAAATTTTGGGGAAAGTTAAATAGGAGATGAGGAGAGCAGGTCAGTCTAATAAGCCACACAGAGAGGATATATTTAATTATAGAATTATAACAGAAGTATCGTTTGAAAATATTTTCCAGAACAGGAATATAATTTTCCGGAAACCTTTAAAATAATTTTTTCCGGAAAACGTAATCAATAGGTACACTGCCACTCAAAAGTATTGCACCAAACAAATATAAAAATTATTTTCCGGAATAATTTTCAACAAATATTTCCGGAATAAAATTTAGGAAAAATTATTTGTTTTCCGGAATAGAAATACATATTTTAATTTCCAGAAATATTAATACTCTTTTCCGGAATAGCGCAGAAAAAAATATTTCCGGAATATTAATTCTTTGGGATTTTCCGGAAATATTTTTAAATTATACAGTTTCCGGAGTGTTTTCCGGAAACAATAGAATATATATTTCCGGAACAAAAATGTATATGCTTTTTTCCGGAAAATACATATAAGATCACAATTAATCAACCTTTCCGGAATAATTATAATTTCCGGAAATATTATTTGTAGGTAATATTGTCTTTTCCGGAATAGTTTACCATAAAGTAATATTGCCGGAAATTAATTTATTTTGTATTTTCCGGAAATATTTTAAATCAATTATAGTAGTTTCCGGAATGTATTTTCCGGAATTCTAAAAAATATATTATTTCCGGAAAAAATACACTTCTTGTAATATTTGTATTTTCCGGAAGTATTATTTAATAAAATATTTTCCGGAATGCTTTTGTATTTTCCGGAAATATTTTAACTAAATTATAAATGCTTCCGGAAAGTGTTTTCCTGAACACAGTTATTTGTATTTTCCGGAAGAAAAATACATTTCTTTAATATTTGTATTTTCCGGAAAGATATTGAATAAATTATGAATGTTTCCGGAAAGTATTTACCGGAAAACAAAAGATATAGGTATATATATTCCATAAGATATATTTTCCGGAAAATACATATAGATCAGAATTAATTTATAAACAATTAAATGTGTTCCGGAATAAAAATACATATTCTCCTATAATATTAATAGTTTCCGGAAATATTGTTTACTAAAATATTTTCCGGAATATTTTGTATTTTTGTGTTTTTTTTTTGTGAATTTTGTATTTTTTGAATATTTTTGTGTTTTCAGGGCAAAAAGTATTTTCTTTAAACCTTTAAGAAATTAAGTGCAAAAAATAAAATAAATTTTACGCATGCGTTATGTTTGGCAGTTTATTTTAATTGTATTTTTTTATTATTTTATTTTTACGTTGATTTTTACCCTTTTTCCCATAAAACCCCATAAAAATGCAAATATCTAAGTGGGAATGCGACATTTTTGCGCAGGGCTATTAGAGCGCGAGCTTATAAAACAGTGAGTTGTTTATCAAAAAAGATAAAATTTTGCTATAATAACTCTCATACCTTTATCTATGTTCTCCAAAAATTTCAGAATTTTTGATCAAGAATTTCGGAAATTGTGGCCAAAAATGTTTATTTTCTGAAATTGCCTAATTTTTCGAGGTCCATCGACTATAACTTCATAAATTTTTGATAAAAAATTCTGAAATTTCTGGAGGAGGTAGTCAATGATGTTAAAGAAATTTGAGAAAATTTTTATGAAATTAGGTCTCACCTAAGTGCCACTTTTTTGTTCTCGCGCCAAAACGGCACGGCGCCAAAACGTCCTCAACCCTAAATATCTAAGTTACTCTAACGGAAATAAATTTTATTTTATAAAAAAATGTGTGTTTTGCTCTTTTTCAACAAAAATAAGAGTAATAAAATCTTGAGTATATTTCAATTATTTTTTTCCTAAAAAAATTTTTTTCAGTTCAAAATTAATTTTCTTTTGAGTAAAGGCAAGTGTCCTTTCATTAATTGACCGAGTAAATTAGCACTGGGGGCTCTAACAAGTTTGTAACTTTTCCAGACAACTACTGAGGTTGAAGAACTGTTACTGTCTCCGTCTCCTTCTGCTTCCTAAAAAATTTTTTAAGCCTAGGAGAAATTAAAAAAAAATTTTTTTTTAATTTTTGAGCCCTCCCTACAGTACCCAAAAAATAAAATTTTCCCAAAAAAATTTTTCTAGCCCAAGTGATAGCTCATTTGAAAGAGCTCATCGAGCTGAATCGAATGAGACCAAGATCAACAAGATTGGATGAGTTTGAACAAAGTTATGGCTAAAAACTCGCCTCAGCTCCATTCCTCCCGTCTTTGCTTTCCTTCTCATTTATAGGCTTCTTTTTGGCTAAAGGTTCTATTTCTATTTCCTCTTCAAAATCATCAATATTCTGATCTGCTTTAATTGTGTATTCATTTTTAAATTCCATTGCCATAAACTAAAATACAAAACGTGTATTTTTTAAAAATAATATTCTGATTTATTTCAGAAGAAAAATACAACGGGAATTCTGATTTTTGTATTTTAAAGGAAAAATACAGAAAAATACAAAAACCAGAATTCTTGTATTTTTTGTATTTTTCCTTTTGTATTTCCGGAATTATGTATTTTAAATAAATTACAACAAACGAATTTTTTATTTTCCGGAAAGAATTAATAATTTTCTTTCCGGAAAATACATTATTCGTATATTTTCCGGAAATATGTGTTTCAGAAATTAATATTTTATTTTCCGGAATACCTTTAAAAACACAATATTTCCGGAATAAAAATAATTTTTTAATATTATATTTTCCGGAATATTATTTAAAATAAATGTTTCCGGAAAATATAAAATCAGAAGTAATTTTAGAAACAATTAAATGTTTTCCGGAATAGAACAAATACATACCTTCCGGAATGATTATATTCTAATTTCCGGAAGTATTATTTATAGGTAATATTGTCTTTTCCGGAATAGTTTACCATAAAGTAATATTACCGGAAATTAATTTATTTTGTTGTATTTTCCAGAAATATTTTAACTAAATTATAAATGTTTCCGGAAAGTATTTTCCGGAAATCTATAGAATATATATTTCCGGAACAAAAATACATAATTTTTTGTAATATTTGTATTTTCCGGAACTATTCTAAATTATAATTTTATCCGGAAAGTATTTTCCGGTACACCGCTATTTGCATTTTCCGGAAGAAAAATACATTGGAATTCTAAAAAATATATTGTTTCCGGAATAAAAATACATTTCTTGTAATATTTGTATTTTCCGGAAGTATTATTTAATAAAATATTTTCCGGAATGCTCTTGTATTTTCCGGAATAATTTTGTGTTTTTCCGGAAAAAATACATATTCTCTTGTAATATTTGTATTTTCCAGAATAATTTTGTGTTTCAAGATTGAATAAAAATTACAATGAAAACACAACTTACTTCCTCACTATTTGTATTTTCAACACTGAATGGTTGTAAAGCAAACCCAGGGCAATCTAAACGTAATATAAAAGTACACTGATTGGTGGCAGTTTCGAACTTCTAAAAATAAAATATTTTTAAATTTTTTAAGTTTAATTTCACCTCTTTTAACAAAGAAATAATTTGTTGTGCTGTATCTTCTCTATCCACTACAAATTTTAAACGTGCCTGGCGGACATTATTTAAATTGTCTTGTGTTGAGGCTTTACTCCATTGACAAGTTAACCATCGTTCCAGATCAGAAAAATAATTCTGAAAAAAAATTTTTTTCAGAATTTTTTCAAAAAAATTTCAGAATTTTCTGAAAAAAATTCTGAAAAAATCAGAATATTCTGAAAAATCAGAATTATTCTGAAAAAAAATTCTGAAAAATCAGAATTATTCTGAAAAAAATTCTGAAAAATCAGAATTATTCTGAAAAAAAATTCTGAAAAAATCAGAATTTTTTTTAAAAAATCTGAAAAAATCAGAATTTTCTGTGAATCAGAATTTTTCCTCTCAATCTCTCTCCCTTACCTCAACAAGCACATCATTTTCACAATAAACATTAATATCATAACGATAAAACAATTCTGGATTTGGTTCTAGCAGGGGAAAACGAGTTAAAAATTCGGCTAAGCAACCGCCCTCTGAATAGCTGAAAGCACCAATAAATTTTGAAAGGGTTGGAATTGATAAAAGTGCTCCGAGATTCTTGGAAAAATTTGTCTCTTGGTTACCTGAATAAATAAATTTTAAATTCTGATTTTAATTTTATTTTAAAAATTCTGGTTTTAAATTTATTTTAAAAATTCTGGTTTTTTAAAGTCCGCTTTCTTAAAATTCTGATTATAATTACTTGTTAAAAATTCTGATTTAAGGTTTAGATTTGATAAAATTCTGGTTTCAGGTTTATTTAATCTGATTTTTATTCTGATTTATTATTCTGATTTTTATTCTGATTTATTATTCTGATTTTTATTCTGATTTATTATTCTGATTTTTATTCTGATTTATTATTCTGATTTTTATTCTGATTCTGATTATTTTCTGATTTTTATTCTGATATATTATTCTGTTATTTGTTCTGATTTCAATAAAATTCTGGTCTCATTTTTTCCGATTTTAATCTTATTTATTAAAATTCTGGTTTCAGGTTTATTTTCTAAATTCTGATTTAATTTAATGTTAAAAATTCTGGTTTCTAAAGTCTATTTTTTTTGAAATTCTGATTATAATTGTTTATTAAAAATTCTGATTTTTAAAGTTTATTTTTATTAATTCTGATTTTAATAAAATTCTGATTTCATTATTTATTCTGATTTTAATTTTATTTATTACCAGTTTATTTATTCTGATTTCAAGTTTATTTTTTTAATTCTGGTTTTAGTTTAATTATTATAATTCTGATTTCAAGTTTATTTTTATAAATTCTGGTTATTCTGGTTCAAGTTTAATTTAATAAATTCTGATTTTTAAAGTTTATTTTTATTTCTGATTTTAATAAAATTCTGGTTTTAAGTTTACTTTTTTCTAATTCTGATTTGTCTTATTTTCATAAATTCTGGTTAAAGTTTATTTTCATAAATTCTGATTATGGTTAAAAATTCTGATATTTCAAATTTAATAATATAAATTCTGATTTTAAGTTTATTTTTATTAATTCTGATTTTAAAATTCTGATTTAACTCTTCCCCACCTTTAAAAGCAAAAGGCAAATGAATCTTCAAGCATAATTTTTGTTCTGCTTCCTCTTCACTGCTTATACCTTTGGGCGGCGATAATGTAATTATTTTTGAAATAAATTCTGTAATATTTTCAATTCCACTTTCCCAATCTCTCAATCCTTGAAGTGTAATTGAACGAAAACCATTTATTCCAGGTGTTGGTTCTCCACTTGGGGTGGGGAGAAGCTACAAAAAATAAATTCTGGTTTTCAAAATTCTGATTTTGTTCTGATTTTTTTAAATTCTGATTTTATTGATTTTTAAAAAATTCTGATTTTGTTCTGATTAAAAAAATTCTGGTTTTTATAAAATTCTGATCTTAAAAAATTCTGATTTTTAAAAATTCTGATTTATAAAATTTCTGATTTTTGAAATTCTGATTTTTAAAAATTCTGATTTTCAAAATTCTGATTTTTTAAAAATTCTGATTTTTTTAAATTTCTGATTTTTAAAAATTCTGATTTCTGAAAATTCTGATTTTTAAAATTCTGATTTCACCTTTATTTAACTAAGCTTACCGTTAATTTTTCTTCTCTACTGCCTTGATAAACTTCAAAAAGTTTCTGTTTACTCTTTTCATCTTCTTTTGATTGTTGTTTTATTTGAATATCAAATAGAAATCCTTTACTGTCCAGCTTGAATTTCTCCCAAATATTTTGAATAGTTTTATCATCTTCAATTTTTCTCTTGCTCATTTTCTCCTTTAATTAAAATTAAATAGTTGGGGTAGGGGCCGTCTCGAGGCCATATTTTGGCCATAACTTTTTTGATACTTAACCGATTTGAATAAATTTTATACCACTCGAAAGCTCTTGATTAGTGGATTATTTTGGCTAACAGGATTTATTCGATCAGACCATCCTACCTAAAGTTACAGTCGAATAAGTGCGTGCAATCGTGATTTTTGATCGTTATTCGTCCATAACTTTTTGTAGGACGATCTGATCAAATCAATCCTGTTATATAAAATAATCCTCAAATCAAGAACTTTCGAATGATATAACATAAATTTAAATCGGATAAGAATCAAAAAAGTTATGGCCCAAAAGTTACAGCCGAATAAAGATCAAAAATCACGATTGCGCGCACTTATCCAGCTATAACTTTAGATAGAATGGTCTGATCACATCAATCCCGTTAGCTAAAATAATCCTCACATTCAGAGCTTTCGAATGGTATAAAAATTATTTAAATCGGTTAAGAATCAAAAAAGTTATGGTCAAAAATAACGATCAAAATCGCGATTGCGCCACGATTGCGCGCACTTATCCTGCTATAACTTTTTGTAGATTGATCTGATCACATCAATCCCGTTGGCTAAAATAATCTACACATCCAGATCTTTCGATTGGTATAAAAATTATTCAAATAGGTTAAGTATCAAAAAAGTTATGGTCAAAATACTGCCTCGAGACTGCCCAAAATTATTGCAGGAAATGCTTTAGATGTCTAGAAAAATAAAAAAAACAAAACAAAATAAAAATCGGATATGAAGAAAAACAAGAGAAAGAAATCAATTCGGGAGGAATAAAATGAGAAGAAAAAAAAATTGGGGAAAGATGGGAAAATGACTATAAACATTTATTTATTTTTAAGTCACATTTGTTGCTTTGTTGAATAAATTTTTTTACTCTAATAGTCAGTTGTATCAATATTTTTAGTCTTATTTTCAGCTTATTTTTGGCTGTTTTTTAAAGATGTAAAAAATATTATTATTAAAGAGGGGGGGGGGGGGGGTTTAAAATCAGAATAAATAATGAAACCAGAATTTTATTCAAATCAGAAATAAAAATAAACTTTAAATCAGAATTTATTTTATTAAACTTGAATCAGAATTTTTAATATAGAACTGAAATCAGAATTACAATAATTGAACTAAAACCAGAATTAGAAAAAAATAAACTTGAAATCAGAATAAAAACAACCAGAAAGTTAAATTAAATCAGAATTTAAAAAACCTGGACCAGAATTTTAATAAATAAGATTTAAAAAATCAGAATAAATAAACCTTAAACCAGAATTTTAAATTACTAAATCAGAATTTTTAATAAAACTTGAAATCAGAATTTTCAATAAAACTTGAAATCAGAATTTTTAATTAAATTAGAATTTATTAAATTAAACTTGAACCAGAATATATGAAAATAAAAAAAATCAGAATTTACTAATTCAACTTAAAACCAGAATTAAAAAAATAAACTTGAAATCAGAGTAAATAAACTATGAAAATAAACTTTACTAAACAATCAGAATTTTTAACATTAAATTAAATCAGAATTTAGAAAATAAACTTGGACCAGAATTTTACTAAATAATATTAAAACCAGAATAAATAAATCAGAATAAATAATCAGAAAATTTTTTTAATAAATATTTTTTTGAGGTTTTAAAAATTTCAAAAAAAATTTTTTTTTTGAAAATATAAAAAATAATAAACCAAAAATCAAAAGAAAACTAAAAAATAAAATTTTAAATTTAAAAAATATTTTTATTATTTAAAATTTCCATTGTTCAAATTTATAAGCAGTTTTGCTTGTTGTGACGTTAATTGAAAAATTGGCAAAAATAGAATAAAAATATCACGCAATAAATAAATTAATTAAAGATAGCAACTTTATTATTAAATTAAAAAAAAAAAATTATTTTTAAATCTAAACAGTAGAGAGTCTTTCAAATATTTTTTATTTAAAAGCGCCGTTGATATTTTCAACAGAATAGCTTTAATCGACTCTAACTTGATCCACATCCATCCGATTTTTCTAAAACTAGCACCATTCGATTCAGCTCGAAAACCCGCGTCGAATAAGCTATCGTTTGATAAGGATTAAAATTCAGTTAAAATTAAATCAATTAAAAACTTCCCTAGTACTATAGGGAGGAGGGAACAGAATAGCTTTAATCGACTCTAACTTGATCCACACTCATCGGATTTTTTTGAAACTAGCACCATTCGATTCAGCTCGAAAATCCGCGTCGAATGAGCTATCGTTTGATAAGGATTAAAATTCAGTTAAAATTAAATCAATTAAAAACTTCCCTAGTACTATAGGGAGGAGGGAACAGAATAGCTTTAATCGACTCTAACTTGATCCACACTCATCGGATTTTTCTAAAACTAGCACCATTCGATTCAGCTCGAAAATCCGCGTCGAATGAGCTATCGTTTGATAAGGATTAAAATTCAGTTAAAATTAAATCAATTAAAAACTTCCCTAGTACTATAGGGAGGAGGGAACAGAATAGCTTTAATCGACTCTAACTTGATCCACACTCATCGGATTTTTTTGAAACTAGCACCATTCGATTCAGCTCGAAAATCCGCGTCGAATGAGCTATCGTTTGATAAGGATTAAAATTTTGTTAAAATTAGATCCTTTGAAAACTTCCCCTTTACTTTGGAGAGGAGATAAGGGGATCTTATCCCTAATCTCCCGAAAATGGATGTTTTCTGCCCGCAATTATTTTTAAAATTTTATAGGAGTTCCCAGAATCCAGTCAGAAATTTCCAACTCAATTCCCAATTTTAGTTCACAATTTCAAAATTTATATAAAAAATTTCCTTCACTGTTCCCTTGTTCTTTAAACTTAAAAAATTCTATTTCACAAAATTCGGACACACATTAATAAACACAAAATATAATTTTAAATTTTTTATTTATTTTTCTTTTACCCAAATAATTTTCTTAATTTTCTCTCTAATTTTCTCTCTATTTTTCTCTTTATTTTCTCCATTTCCTGTATTTTTCGCCTTTAAACTTGTACAAAAATTAAGGGTGGTAATTAATTAATTAATTAAAAACGCGTACAAAAATTTTATTTTCTCTCGGCCATTTATACTCTCCTTTTGGCCCTCTTTTATTTTCAATCCTTCCCCTTTTTGATCTCCTTATACGTAGTCAATGCAGCCACTTTTTACGTTTTGCGCACCTTTACTCCCTTAAATTTAGTAGGGAGTATGGTCTGTCTACCGCGACCACGGTCAGTCTCAGAGCCATAACTCCGCGTAAAAATTTCTTAGAAAGTTAATTTTGGTACCATT